TATGCTAAACCAAACCATTAACGAATATTATATTTAATCCTAATTTCTTTAGGTGGTTATACAAATCAAGATGATCCTGCACTGTTTATGAGAATAAACGAGACATACATTTTAAGATTGTTAGGTCATTGTAGTGTTCATGAATTTGAGTTAGGTGAAAAGTTAAAAGTAGCTACATGTTTGATTAATCAGTTGCTCACTTTCGCTTCGATACGAGATGTAATAGAAGAAAGACGTGAAAAACTTCATCAAGCAAAGAAAGAATTGAAGTCTTTCTTAATAGCTGAACAAAGGAAAGAAAAAGAAGAAAAAGAAAGAATGAGAGATCGAGAAAAAGATAATGATGGTAAAATACCAAAGAAAGTTACGCGTGGTAGTTGTGAAGAGGAAAAAAAGAAAGAAGAATATGAGAATAAATTAAAAGAACTTCAGGAAGCATCCAGAGATAATAAAATGATGGTTTATTTAGGTTCTGATAGAGCTCATCGTAGATATTGGAGATTTTTATCAATACCAGGTAGAGCTTCATGTTTCTATATTATTCAATTAATAAAAAATGTTTGTAAATTTTCTTTGTTTTTCTTATAGGAATATTTGTAGAGAATGATGAATGGTGGTCTGGTAATTGCATTCCTGATGGTACACCTTATCAACCAGAATTATTAGATACAGAAGCTATGCATGCATATTTAAAAAATAAATTTGAAGATGAATTTAGTGATAAAGAAAATAGTTTTAAAAAAGCAAAAAGGTCTCCTAAAAAAGTTTCATTCTCTGACAAAAATATTCTTAAGTCTCCAAGAAAAGATATATCTCGGAAAGAGTTTAAACAAGAATTATTTGATATTAGAAAAAATTTAATGGCCTGTACAGGAGACAAAGAATGTCCTGTGCATTGCAAGAGATCAGAACTAAAATGGAGTTTCTTTGGAAAGCCGGAAGATATAGAAGCTTTAGTAAATGGTTTGAGTAAACGAGGAATTAGAGAAGGTGAACTCAGAAATAATATTATACAAGAAATGCCAAGTTTAATGTCTGTGATTGAGGAATGTCCTAGACATAAACTTAATCCTGAAGTAGTAAGTATTTCAGATAGATATTTTATCTTTTAAAATTACTATTGAGTAAACATTGCGAGTAAATTTTCGATACAGTTTTCAGAACCTATCAAAGTGCATCCTAATAGGATTTCAAAAAAGAATAGATACGAAAATGCCAACTTAAATTTTCCTTCAGAAATGGCAGTCAATATTGTTTTAGAATTGACTCTAAGAGATTATATCCTAGATTTTGAAGACAGAGTGAAAGGAGGGGCTTTAGGGAATTTGAAAGTTAATGATCGTGAAATATGGAGGCACGCAATAAATAACAGGAAATATGATAAACAATGTGATAAATTAGTGTATGGTACAAATGAAATTGAAGCAGATATTGTTTCTAATACGTCTTTAGACAAAATCAAAAATGAAACAAAGCATAGCAGACCTGGAACTCCAGATTCAGAAGTTGGAAGTATTAATACAAAAACTTATAAAGATGCAGGAAAATATTTAGGTCCACCAAGTGAAAATGAAATGCTCCCAGATCCTAATCAGCAGTTAGCCATTAAACAAATGGCTTGTGCTATTTTACAGTTATCTCACGCTATTGAGCAAAAGTACTTACAAAAACCGTTAGGTGCCACTGAGAAAGATAAGAAATGGTTTGGTGAAGACATCAGAGAAAAATGGGAACAATCACTTATGGCATCAGCGAGTTGGTCTCAATTGTTTGTACATTTAAGTACTTTAGAAAATAGTGTTGCATGGAGTAGAAGTGCATTAAATGCTCAGTGTCGAATATGTAGACGACGACGAGACGGCGACAAAATGCTACTATGTGATGGGTGCAACAAAGGCCATCATTTATATTGCTTGCAACCAAAACTAAATGTACATTATTTTCTTAACCCTTTTATTTTTAGCTTCCATTATATTGCAATATTTGATATTAAATATTTACTTGTAGAGTGTACCAGATGGAGATTGGTATTGTAAAGTATGTAAACCACCTACAAAACCAAAAGAGAAAATTAAAAAGAGAAAAAAATTTGAAGATGAATTAGAGGAGGATGTAATATTAACCAAAGAAACTCGACATAATCGTGCAAAACGTGTTCTTGAAAGTGAGGAAGAAGGGGATTCAGTTGATGAAGAATTAGAAGAAGATAGTGATGATGATATGTAAGTGTCATTTTGATAATAAAATATTTGGTATTTTTTAGAAATAATAAGTATTATTGAGTATTAGATGAAGAAGTTTTTCAATAATTAATATATGTTCCAGGGGTAGTCAACAAATAAATGTATGTTGCATATGTAAAAGCGGTGGAAAATTAATCAGCTGCGATACATGTTCAAATTTTTATCATGTAGAATGTATAGAACCTCCGTTAACAAGAGCACCTCGAGGAAGATGGGTTTGTTCAGACTGCAAGGATAGGAAAGACAGAAAGACAAACATAAGATATGGTAAATATTATAATATACTTGCAAATTTAGTGGTCGCAGGAAATGCTATAACAAACTTTGAAAATATTGCGCTACCTCATAATATTTTATTATCATTTCGTGTTAACATCTTAGTACATTTTTTTAATTTAAATACTAATGTAATAAAGCAGTTTCTTAGTTCTAATTATGTTGTTAGTGAGGGGGCGTGAAAGGGAAAGGGACAAGGAGAGACTGTGCGCTGCAGCAGCACGCTCTCGCATCCATGGCTTTGCCAAGAGCCTCCTCACTACAGAATCTACAGACTGGGACGGTCTGTATTGTAACTCTATTCACTTTTGCTTAGTATGAATACAGATTTTTTTTACAAATATAGTAATACTTGGTATAATGATATGTAATATGTAGGATTGCTTTATACATTTGTTCATTATTACTAAATTAAGGTTAATCAACTTTGTTGCATGTATGTGCAAATGGTTCTTATGCTTCTATTAAAGCAGAACATTTAAAATTCATATTGAATTTGCTTTCTTTCTTTAAATATATTTATACTTTTCTTAATTCAATGTAATTCTTTTAATGTTTTCCATTAACTAACTACTTTAGAAGTGTTTACATCCTAATATCAGTATTTAATTGTATATATACATATTTATATATATACAGATAGCAGTACTTCAGAGGATACAGAACCAAGACAAACCAGAAGAGCAGCTAAAAGAGCTGCTGAAATTGAACAAGAAGAAGATAAGGGAACAATTAAAGGATGTATGGGGAGACTGCAGGAATTACTTTCTGACATTAGGCATCACAGAGATTCGTGGCCTTTCCTATCACCTGTTACAAAAGATGAAGTTCCAGATTATCATGATATTATTTCCAATCCTATGGATTTTGGTACAATTAAATATAAACTTAATAATAATGAATATGAAACACTGGAACATTTTTTCAGTGATTGTCATTTAGTGTTTGAAAATTGTCAAGCTTATAACGAAGAACACAGTTCAGTCTACAAGTGAGTATTACTAACACAAATATTTTTTTACATAAGTTCGGACGCCAGAGATTGCGAGATTAACTAATACTATTGATTAATGTGCTATGTTCATATTGCAAGTGTTTAAGTGTAGTGTTTCAGTAACTTTATATGTGCTAATAATAATAATATCTTTGTACTATATTGTATATTTATTAATATTATTAAATGATATTTGTATCTCTAATACCAAAAGATAGAAGTGGGATTGAATGCTTTTGTAACTAATGAATATTGAAACTAACAAAATATGCAACAATTAAATATTTCACAATCTTTAGCTTTATGAATGAATGAAAAAATTTCATTTGCTACTATTAAACTAAATTTTGCAGTAATTTAAATGTATATTTTGAAGTTAAAAAGAGCTAATAGAAATTATTGCAATAGAAACCAGAACAATAATCATTTAAGATCAAAATCTTTGGCTTCCGAACACTTAAAGTAGTACAGATTTTGAAAGTTAGGCTATGTCTTTTTAAAAATAGTTACGTATACAGAGCAGGTATCAGATTATTGAAGTACTATGAAAAACGATGCAAAGAATTAGGATTGACGACACATGGTGAAGAATTACTACGACCTCCAGATACAAAGAAGCCAAAATTCGAAGAAAATGGTCTCACAGTTAGCGAAGATGAAGAAGCAGAAAATATTCAAAAATCAAGATAGAGATAAAATACTTTCTTGAAATCGTTATATTTATTGAATATCAATTTTTACTTCTAATACGTAAATTAAATGTACCTTGATGCTAAATTTGTACACTGATGTTGAATTGTGTGCAGACTCATAATTCAGCAAAAAATGCTCTGTAAAGTATATATTACTAAAAAAATGATTTCGTTTACTGAAAATTAGAAAATACGCATAGAATTTATGAAGTTTATCTATTGAAAGAGGTGATAAAATGCAAGCTTAGAAGTATTTAAAATATTTTCTTCTATGTTAATTATCAAATATCCCGATTAACTCTTTTTCTTAGGCTTGCTATATCAAAAAGCATGCACAGTATTATTTGTAGAATTTTACGCATGGTACAATTGCTCTCGCATACCATTTTGTAGAAATTACTGTTTAATGTAGAACATTTTATAAGCAAATGAACAAGCGCGTAAGCAATGAACTATTTTCATATGCTTGAGCCAGTACAAGAATAGTCTTTTGAGTTAGTATTATTATAAACAAATTTTTTGTTATCAAACAAAGTTTTACATTATATTATTAATTATTTATTATTTTAACGTTATTAATTTGATTACATCTTATATATCTTTATAGTTAAGTAAAAAAATTTGGAGGGTTACCTAAATATATTCTAAACTTTGAAAGATTTGACTTATATAAAATTCATGTAAAATGTTACATATTACCTGCCTTTTATAGTACGTCTATATGCAGTGTGAAGTACGATCACGCGTAACATGACTGATGGTTTAAGAGTTAATACATGCGTAACAGAAACTAAGAGCTTTTGTTATGAATGCTAAAAGCATTCATATAAAAGTAATTATATATTGATACAAACACAGTTACTATGTCTTTACTTATATTTATATAAAGTAGATTTTACTGGGGTTCAAATATGCACACAAAACTACAGAAACTTCAGGATTTTATTTCATCATTTTTGTTTTAGGTTTTATTAAACTGTTAACATATTAATAGTACTTATCTTTCTTTTTGCTTCTCTTTTTCTTTTTCGCAATAATTATCATATTTTTTGAAAATTACAAATTTTAGGCTGGCCCTACATGAAATCTACGGTACAAATTATCATTAATCTCTATATTGTACAGCAGTAGAAGCAGTTCTTTGTAATCATGTATGTTTTATACGATTAATTTGGTAATAAACTTTTAAAATAGATTTACAAATGAAATTTGTTTATAATAAACTATATAATAAATCAGAAGCTAGTTAAATAGAATTTTTATATACAATTTGAAAGTATTCATATATATTTCTCTTTCATATCATACTACAATGTTTTTAATTTATAATTTAATGATGCATTTTCCCGGAAAATTGCTCTTTGTGGAGTTCTTCCCATTTTTTCACATTTTCTGGAGCATGACCTGCAATACAACAAGAAGAAATGATTAATCCTTACGTATATAAACACTAAAATAACATTAAATAGGTTTTCCAAAGTATTGTACTTACTCATTTTATGGAATTTATAGAACAGAGGTAAACAAACTATTGTACTAATTGCCCAATATTTAAGTACCCAACCATTCTTTGTTACAAACATGTAATGATAAAATGGAAATCGTCTAATTTTTGCAGCCAGTGAATATGGGTACTTCATTTGTGTTCCAGACATGGCTAAAAATAATTTATTATTAATATTCATTTTGATATTAATTTTTATTATTTGTCATTTGTGTCTATGTTTAAATGATTAAAAAATAATATTCCATAAGAGAAAGCATATGGTTTGTAGTTTATAAAGTAATAATTAATACACTTTATGCTTATAATAATATTTTATATAATGAAAAAGAATATTTTTTTTATTTTTTAAGAATCCTGAAAATATATATTGTGTATCGTACTTGAAATTTGATTAATAAAAACTGATTCACTCGATTATAACTGAATGGAACGTATCTGACAAATATATGTGTAATTCTATATTTGTATAATTTGTTCTATTACGGAGATTGCAAATATAATTACAAAATTGAAGTTCGATAGTACGAAAATTACATTTACAGCGCGAATAATGAGTTTCTTTTGCATATTAATATTTTACATATAGCTTTAATATGATTTTTATATTTTTTAACATTTACATAAAATCATTTATTTACCGAATGTTTAATACCAAAATGAAATATAAAATATTATTTACCTTTTATCAGTTTAGAATACAATCTTAGCAAACTGACAAAACGGATCAACTATGATTGTTACAGCCATAGAACAATATTATATAACCAGCATCCTACTAAAATATATCGAAAAGTATCGAATCACAATTATCTACCATTGTAGTCCAAGATTTAAAATTTTATTGGTTAAGAATCAGACATATTTAAAGAAAAAAACTAAAAAGATCTGCTAAAACATTAGTAATTAATAGCAACCAATAATCCACTTTAATTTTTGATTTTTTTAATTTTTGAAATAAACTACAAAATAAAGGTTAATCACTGAACATACTTTATTTCTCGTTAATGAATGAATCATATAAATTTCTATATAAAGTTCTGTTTAAATATTAATTTTATCAATAACTTATATATTAATAAGTAGTCACATATATGAATATTAAATAGCTGGCATTAATGAAAATAAAAAATAATTTGAATATTATATATAACATGTGTAAATAAAATATGGTTTTTAATAAGATTACAATTCATTTTATCAACACGTAAATCTGTCTTATCATGATACAGTCTATACAATCATAAATGAAAGTAGATTTTTAATGCGGACTTATCAAGTTAATCCTTGAAATAAATTATAAGAATATAAAGGCATTTGAAGGTAGTTGCGTGAAAGTGACACCTTATGTTACAATAAGATCAATTAAAATATTAGTGAAGGTCTCCATATGTATAATCTGAACGAGCGCGGAAGATAAGAGAATCTATCCCAAACACGATTGAATAATAATAAATCTGAAATTGTGCGTGTACTTGCCATGAGTTCTATAGAGGTTGTAAATGCTTCTCATTTTTAAGCTTAACTTTTGGATTTAAAGAACTTCATTTGTTGTCTGTGTGTAGTTTAAAAATAATTTTGATTTGATAAAAACAATATGTTACTAAGTTTTCTCTGAATTTCTCTGAATTCATAATGTTGTTACTACGTTAATCTTTTAAGCAATATGTTAATTACTAATTAATTTTTGGTTTATTGAATATTAACAGGAAAGATGTCTTGAAGATACAGAGATCGAATTATTTAATTCGAGTGTATTGGATCGATTGTCCTTGTCACACATCGATGGTTTATTAATTAGGCCTTTAAAATCAGAAGATTATGATAGAGGTAAAAGAAAGATTATAAAACAGTTATTATCACTAATAATGTAGTTTATTTGTTAACATTGTGATATTTATTTGAAAGGTTTTCTTCAGCTCTTGGCTCAATTAACTGAAGTCGGAAATATCAATAGAGAACAATTTCTTAGTAAGTCTTTTTTAAGTTAACTTTTGTATAAAGTTGAGTATAGGAGATATAGTAATAAAAATCTGTTTAATCTTATTTCCTAATACACAGATCGTTTTCATATGATGAAAAATACTGGTAGCTATTACATCATTGTAATAGAAGATATAAACACTGAAAAAGTAGTTGCAACTGCAACATTAGTTGTAGAACAAAAGTTTATTCACAATTGTGCAGTGGTATGTTTTTTACTCTCTTGATATTTCTTATAAAATAAAGATTTTCCCACAAGAAAGAGAAATTTGTTACAGAGAGGACGTTTAGAAGATGTGGTAGTAAATAGCAAATACCGTGGTAAGCATCTAGGAAAGCTGGTAATCAAAATTATATTACAATTATCACGCTATTTACGATGCTATAAATTATCATTGGATTGTAAAGATCATCTTATACCATTCTATGAAAGTTTAGGCTTTAAACGCGAGCCTAGCAATGCCAATTATCTTAATATGAGATTTCCAACTGAAAACAATACAGAACAATCTCATTTATGACAATAGAAAAAACAATACTTAAAAGTTCTTATAAAAAATTTATAGTTTAAATCATTACATAATTTCAGCATACCTCGATTTTAAACAGGGATTCTTATTGCTTCATTTTCAATATTTGAAAAACAATTATTACTCTTTTTACAAATTTTATAGTCAATAAATTATTTCAATATGAATTAATAAATATAACATGGGATGTACAGGTTAAAAAAGTATTGATTTGTAATTATATTTTACTGGACATATGTATAATACTTTATAAGAATATATAATAATGCAATAAACAATGTTAGAAAAACAATTCAAAATTAATTTTTAACAAATATCAACTAGTTATTAATAGAAAAAATACTTTTTTCGCTTTCATCATTTTTTAATTCTTGTTTTTGTTAAATACATGAACGCAATCATCAAATTATGGTATTTAAATTAGAGTTTTTTAGCAGCGACATTATTTCGTAATTTTATCGCTCTCTTTGCTTCCATTTGTCTTTGTCTTGCTAATTTACGCTCCTCACGCTTTCTTCTTGCTTCTTCTAATTTAGTGTTTCCATTAATTGTATTAGTACTTTCAGCATTTTCTTATGCAAAATAATTAATTTCAAATTATTAGTTAAATGTTTATATCAGTGTGACAGTTATAAAAATATAGACATACCTGATTGTGTATGTTCTAATGGTTGAAAATCTTCCAGAGGCTGAAATTCTGAATCCTCCCAACCTACCTCAGAAGAATCATTCTTATCTTCTACATCCTGTGCTGCTTCTTCCTCCTAAATGAAATATTTGATTTCCCTTCTTTTATTTTATGTGGTATGCTAATATATTAATATTTTTAATTTCGAATAATACAAACTGGTTCTTCTTCGAGGCTTGTCCACTGATCATTAGGTTTAGGAGAATGACAAGATGGTGAAATATTACTTAGTCCATGTCCTGATGTACTAGAAGGTCCTTCTTCCATATCACCCCAATTGTCAGCATCCCAGTCCCAATCACAATCTGAATTTGCGTTTGTAGCATTCTGTAAATCATGTTCATGATCATGGTCTAATGACGTCATACTTGTAGCACTACTTGTCGTGGCAGTTGTACTAGCACTACTTTGCGAACTGCTAGCTTGCTCTGTAATTTTATCATATATTTATGTAAACAGTGTTTCATAGTAGTATAATAAAATATATACATATATATAAATTAGATACCTAAAGAGGCGGGTTTGTTTAGTAAAATTTTAGATATGTTATGCGGATTTGATGATTTAGGTGTATCCGATTGACTGCGATAAAATTTGGCAGTAACTGCTGTTACAGCCCAGCCAGCCCATGTTGCGGCTGCGTTGCTAAGACTCGGTGTAGCTGTATTTACATCAGCCTCTGAAATCATATCGTTTACATTATCAATTATGTTGATCATTTATAAATAAAATCTCTGGATCGTTTTAGTACCCATAGATTCACGTAATCCTGGATTTTCCGATACTCTTTCTAGTTTTGATAGAAATCCACGGATAGTTCGGAATGCGTTATCTCTTACTCCCTTATCCACATCTGTAGTGAGTGGGCACAGAGCTGGTAAAATACGATTTGCAACTTCCTGTAGTAAAAAGTATTGCTGCGTTGCAGCTAATGCTAAAATACTCGCCGCTCTAGCCGGTGGAAAGGAATCTCGTGTACCTCGAATAAATGCTCCAATTAACACCTACGATAACGTTGTTATTTGTAATCACTATTAGATATCACTTTATAACTTTTATGTCTAAATTGAAATTACTTTTTGCCTAATTTGAGGATGAAGATGTTGAGCAATTTTTCCTAAACAGACTGTAGTATTAGTACGTATGCCGCCATGTTCATCTTTCGACTGAAGTTTAGCAAAATACCTTAATGTTTCCACATTAAGATTGTTATAATCTAATTTTGGTGCTAAATGTACAACAGATTTTATTGTTTGTTCCCTGATTGCAGCATTTGTATCTAAAAACCCTTTGGCTACCTGTAATTAATAAATAACATCAAAGCATCTTGAATCTTCTGTATTTTTGTATAATAAAAAGCAATTAGTATTTATAATTACCTGTGGAAAGATAGCTTCATTAACTGTTGCTGGTTGTAAATGATCAACAAATCGATCTAGCTGTTGCAATAATCTTAATCTTGTTGCCCTATCATTGGATGCAAATAATTTGACAACACATGGTACAACTCTTCGTTGATATTCGACGTCGGGTAGTTGGCAACCAAGTTGTAATAGAGGAGGTAATACTGCACTTCCAGCATCACCAAATTCAAAGGCAGCCAATAATTGTGGTAAAATTTTATACCTGCCAACGCCATCCGGAAATGATTCCAACTGACCAGCAAGTTGTGAGAAAAATCGTCCCTTTTCTCCCCTTTCTTTCATTTGAATTTCCTCTAGGAATAAAAGCGCATCTACTAGATCATTTTTAAAAAATCCACCATTACTGCGGCAACGTGCTATCACATCTGCAGGATTCGGTCTTCCTTCTTCATTGCTACTGATCAATTCTCTATATATCAGTTGCAATTGTTTTGGAATCTAAAATAGAAATAGATATTTAAAAGATATCAAATTCAATTTCAAAATAAATATTCATTCTGTATATATACAGAAAACATACTTTATCAGTGACTTTAAGTTGCGAATTTGAAGTTAGTGGACCATTATATGTTTCCCAGATCAGGCATCCAAGTCCCCACATGTCAACTGAGCTGTTTTTTTATTTATTCATCAGTTTCTTAGCGTTAACAATAAACCTAAATGTTTACATATAGAAAAGCTAGTATTGTAGTGTAACTTTAGGAATAAGATAACTATTTTCTATTATTTACCAAATAAGACAATTATTTTGTTAAAGTTTTACATATTAAATAAGTTGTAGCTATAACAAAAATACGATTGGATTATTTTTTTACATTAAAATATAATTTTGTAATATGTGTGTGTATATTTGTAATAAGAATAATGTAAATTTTAAGCAGTAATGATTATTAGATAGAAATATGAATTTGTTTGAATTGTTCATAAATCTTTTTTACCATTTGGTGGCTGGCTTTACATTTTCCTTAATATCAAGAGGATAATATACTTGGAATGTTGATGGTAATACGCTGTAAACAGTATCTACTGCTGTCATATATTCAACTCCACCAAGTTTCCATTCTCCACTTTCCTCATTAACAAATACAGTCCATAAGTTAACATTGTTGTGCCGTAGGTTACCATCATTATTTAGAAAATTCAGTGCTCTCTATTAACATATATATATACATATGTATATATATATATGTAATGATATATTGTGAAATGACACATTATTATATTTACTTTTTATACGCACAGTAATTTGGAATATTCCCCAAGAAAAATATAGTTCCCTTTTAGATTCATCATCACCATCAGATTTCCTTATCAGTCGACTATATAAAGTTTCTACACGTTCAGTTGCTAAATAAATTACTTTATTAGTCTGAAATTATAAGAAAAATTATATTATTGCATATTCATATTACTGATGCAATGTTTTATAATATAAAATCTTTATACCTCAAAACTATCAAGATATGCAAGTATACTTGGATGTCTAAGTGTTTTTAATCTTTTAACCGCTGAACGAGCTATATTCAAAAGATGTTCATTGCCTGTCTTACATTCAAATACGAACACTGAAACATCTTCACCTCCTGTAGAACCCTGCAAAAAGATATTTCGGATAATAAGAATACAATTTTCAAACACACAATATAAAATTTGAGTGAATACCTAAAAATGAGAAATATTTTCTAAGAATTTTTACCGCATCAGGTTATGGTACCTTTTTCTTAGCCCTATGCAGTGTCCAGATGCTCTTATCATCTAAACTAGAAACCGGTTCACCGATCTCATATGAAAAATCTTTGGTGGGGTCTCTTGAAAAGAAGGACCACATATTTTTGATTCAATTATTTAACTCTGATATAAATCAAATTCATTCTTTGACTCAGAACCTTATCATCACACTGACAGCTACGCATCAACTATATCTTCAACCGCGCTGCTACTTCGCGACGATTACGTACTTAATATTGAACTCATATTTCTTGCCTATAAATCAGTGTAAAATTTCAACACGGTCCACTGATACAATTTTTTTTTATTATATTTCAATACAACTATTTTTGCCAGTTTATTCAACAACTTTTTATGTCAGATATCCGATGATACGTTAATGTCTGTCGCTAAGTATGAACAAAGTTGGTCCATCTCTGGTGACAAGTTATACTTTTAAAAGTGGCAAAGAATACATTGTAAAGATCAAAGTTACTGCTTTTAAGGGATGTCAGCGTAATTTGGAGCTTACTATTACCGATAAATATACCGCCGAGAATTGGCAGTCTTTTTACGATGCTGCATGTTTGTTCTTTATCATTTTTTTATTTTATGTAATATGTTATTTTAAGGTTATATTAAGAATCTCTTTTTGTATGTACTAGAACTTTAATATTCATGCAATTACTTGATTTGCTTTTTATTTCTAATTATGTGTTTCTCAATTTTTAAGACATTGAAAATTTGACGCAGAAGACGGGAAATTACAAACATTTTGATGTATTTGTGGCTATGCTCCAATCTGGATTGTTAAAAGTAACATTTGTATTTAAATTATCCAATTAATTAAATAAAATAGAAGGAATTCAATTACAGACAAGCGAATCCATTACTCTGGATCTGCTGACATTCGAAGATTTACAATTGTTACGTGCCCGTAAACTTGAACGCAGTTCGTGTTCAAATTTGAATAATACGACAAATAATCGTCGATATCTTATATTAACGTACACGGTAGAATTTGATAGGTAAGTATATTTTGTAAATTTACTACATTTAATTAAAACACATTAAACATATGCCTTCACTCTGTTAAGAATCCATTATCCATTATCTTTGGAATATTGCGGTTTACCCAATCCTATGATATTACAAGCTACCATTAGGAAATTACAAACTGAACTTGAAAGATTGCAATCTACACGAATAAATAGAGATTTTCAGAAACGTGTTGAACAACTGACAATTGCGAATCAAAAGCTTATACAAGAAAATCATAGGCTTAAAAATGGAGGTAGAAATAAATACTTGGATGTTTTGTAGATAAAAGTTCTAAGTATATTTTACTATTCAGGAAAAGGTTTAAAACATTTATTGGAATCAATTAAATCGTTAGAAAATAATGTTGTTAAGGAACGTGCGTCCTTTCAAATGCAAATTCAAAAACTTAAAGCCGAAAATGCAGCTTTGTTATTGAAAGTACAGCAACTTACTGCATCTGCTAATAGAAAACCAGGAGATGGTAGTCCAGCATTAAAATGTCATAACCGTACATCTTCTACGCTTAGACGAAGCAGAAGTCGATCTTCTTCGATTTCAAGTCGTAATAAAACTTCTAGTTTATCACCAGGTGTAAATCAAAGCTATCAGTTAATGTCAAAAATCTTATTTGTATAATTTTCCTAAAATGATTATTAATATATAATATATTAATATAATTTAATTGATAACTACAGGGAGTTCATTAGAATCGATTAGAATTCAACGATCTCCTTGCCGAAATTCGAAAGTATATAATAATAAAACAAAGAATTCAAGTTAGTATTTGATCTGTGCTTAATTATAAAGTTCATATACGGTATGTCCTGTTTAACTGGAAATATTCGGATATCTGGAAAAATATGAACAAATATTTCAGATGAAAGTTGTATCAAAGGGAACACACTGTACTTTTTGTTATTTATTTGATCTCACGATAACCTTGAAACATCCTGTAAAGGTGACATTAAAATTTTTAAGTAGACGCCTCCATTTTTTGTAACATGTTCTTGTAGATAACATTCAGACGTTTTTAAAACGCTACGAACTTGTGTCTTTTGTACCATCCGCTAACGAGATATAAATTTTCAAATTCGACAGAGCAATACAGGGAATTATCCAAGTGTGACTGTTCTCAGTTGACTGCTTTGGAATCATTAAAAAAACTGCGGCCTTGTGTTTTGGCAATGCCATACTAATAGTAGCATTATGAAAAATATCTTTAAATATCCCCGTGGTATATATCAGGCAACTCCAATGCCTGCAGGACAAATTTTAAAATTTCGAATTTTAAAGTTGATATGTCAATAGTGGTTGGTGCAAAAGATAAGAGTTTGTAGTATTTTGAAAACATCTGAATGTCAGCTACCAGAGTATGTAATGTAAAATGGAGATATCCATTTAAATATTTTAATATCACCTTTACTTTTCAAGATCATCTTTTATGTTACACATTTTTTCGCATTATTCGTATGTTTCCAGTTAAACAGGACATACTGTATAATCAACCCCAAAATTTTTTACCATAGAAATCGAGTTTGAAAATTTGGAGACAAGAATTCACACATTACAGAAAATGTTGAAAGAAGGGATAAGCATAAAGTAATAAATGAATCAATTTTTATGAACAATTAACAAATATATATGCTAAGATGTATTTCGTTTTTATCATTGTTATTATTATTCTATTTTTCATATAATACAATTTAATTGAATGTAAATAGATTAATTACCTCACTATTTAAAATAGTGAAACTTGAAACACTTTTATAGATGTAAACTACTTTTGTTTTTCTGAAACTGTATGTGTTTTTGAAAATTATTGCTGATAAAGAAAATAATAAATTATGAATTAATTATATGTATAAGCATAAATAGAAAATACTGAATATTCTCCATAATGATGTACAAAATACCAATATAGAATTGTGTTGTATGTGATTTTAATTATATATAAAGTCATATATTAAGTCAAGTATATATTGTGGGAAGTATTTTTTATATACACTATAATATTATGAATTCATTTGTTTCATTTAATATTATTTATGTTGTGCCTATTCTATCACAATCATTAATGAAATTTAAAGTAAAATTTCAGTTAACTGAATTTTTCTGGTTTTACATTATTTTCATAGTATAATATAGCACGTTCAATTATTGATGGTTTCTCATTTTTTGATTTCACACCATTTTGGCTTTCATCAACATTTAATTGTTGCATTTGTAAATTTGTTTCCTTTACTCTTGGCTTTGCAATCACTTCATACTTTGTATGCTTTGCTAATTCCTGAATAGCTTCATGCAAATATTGAATCTGACTTTCTTGTTGAGATGTCACTTGATTCAAATTTCTAATCTCATCCATAAATGTTTGTAATTGTTGAAGCCGTGCTTCCTCTTTTCTTGCTTCTTTTGCTACTTGGCGATTGTATTCTAATATTAAACAACCACCAGCAACACTAAAAATAATAACCTCACCCATCAAATTAGCTCCTAATTCTATAGCCATAGTTTCATTCAACTTTGCAACTTTTGTAGGCTTACCAAGATTCATTATATACATTTTAGCTTTTACCTCTGCCCAATGGTAAACTGTAATTAAATTATAAAAATATGAAACATAATTATGTGGTTATAATAGGTGTCTATAGTTATTATTAATGATGATATCAATATTAATTACATCACGGTCAAATCATATAATTTTTTAAGTATTTTTATTTAAAAAGATTTATTGTACTTACATTGTGCAGGTGGTATAATAAAATATGTCCTAAACACAGGATGATTTTTTGCTTGATTAACAAGAAACTTGGCCAGGGGCTTACTAATTTGTTTAACAAATAAAACCCCCAATTTGAGAGCTGGAAAAACACCCACTACCATTTTTGCAACCTTTTTTATTCGTACAACTTCAATTAGAAAATCACAGTTTGTATTTAATTAAAACCTAGAAATCATATATATGAATAAACATTGAAACATGCTTAAAACATGTCACAAATATAGACGATTTTCCAATAAATATATTTATCGTAATTATTATATGTTATATACATATTAGTTGAATAAATAATGAGAACGTAATATATAATAATGTCACGATGTCATGGCAAGTGAGATGAATCTCACATTGTATTCAAAATGATTACCTCACCTCTGAAATTATTTCAGAGTATAGCAGACAGCCATAGTGGTGTCACGATAGCATTAACTAAAGACAGAATAGACGTGACATTAAATGGAACTTTGTATCTCACGTTATGAAATATTGATCTGCCAAAAAATTAGAGTATTTTTTATACCCTTTGCGATTTCCTACGGGAACATAGGAATTATCATAGATAACTCGTGAGTGATTATATCACCGACGAGGTACAAATAAATGTGACATATGTAACGTCGCGTTATCGACATCTTGCTGTTTTATCGATATAACTAATAAACACGCGAGTTCGGCATTTCCGAATCTACAGAACGTGTTGTAAATGTGACTATTTTGAATTCGCTTTTAGTATTTCCTTACACAATAAAGTAATAATTCCGTTTTTTTTAATGTTCGCTATAAAAACATCTAGAGTATATATATATATATATATATATATATATATTATACATATAATATTGCTTTGTCTAGAGTTTTTTTTTTACATTTATTTACGCTTAATTTTTTACTTTCGTCATATATTTATTATTAGTAATAATCATTAGTATAGTCTCTACATGAATTTATGCAATCAAACAGGGCAGATCCCTAATTTTATAGGTTCTTGTATATGCTAACTTTACTTGACTTCAGCGCTTGACCGCATGGTGCAGCACTAGCCTAGGAGCGATCAGGTCTATAAGCTTAAACACTCTCATTTCCTTTTTGACCTTATTTTAATTTCATAGGAAAATTTTGTTTTAATTCAAACCACTATTATACTGAATCGATAACCTCGCATGCGACACAGAAATGATATGGGGATCAGGTGACCTTCAAAACATGAGACACGAAAAAGCATTGAATATCACGTCTATACTGTACATTGTTGGTGACAAAAGTATGCTATATGCATGTGTACGTGAATCATTTTTTAGTAATATTTAAAGGTTAAAAAAACCGTTCAATACATCATCTTCAACGTTATTCATAATTTTTTGTTTATGAGTATTTGTATTGAGCGAAAAGTTAAACATGTTGTAATATCAAATACAGATATTTATCTATGAAATCAACTTCATGCATAGAATTTTTCTGTTAAGTGTAGTTATGTGATAATTTCACAATTATCATTACATTCAGAAGTTTGGAATTAAAAAGAATAGAAAATTATAAAGATAATATAAAATATCGTTAATAGTAAAGTGGATGAAGTAATAGGAAGTCAATATTAATTATATAATTAAAATTATACGTTTAAAATTGCTGATTTTATAGGTTAAGTGATTTTCGAAAGAAGTGAACACTTGAAAAACTTATTTTTATTGAAGTCGTAATTATTGATTGAAAAGATGTATAATAAAAAGTTCAATATAGTTAATAACAATTATTCATTTATAATATGGGGTCTGGCAATACATTTAATATTATTATGGGGTGTACTAGATGTAAACTTTCATTCTCCCATTATTCAAGAACTACCAAATGTACCAATTTTAAGAAATGCACCAGCGAAAAGATTGGTCTTATTTGTAGCAGATGGTTTAAGATTCAGAACCTTCATTGAAGCACCACCAAAATTTCTCAAGTAATTAAAAATTATTTCTTAGATAAAGGTTTATTCTAAATTACAAATTATATGCATATATACATGCAATAATGTAATTTTGTTCATAGACACATAATGACAGATATAGGTGCTTGGGGTATATCTCATACAAGAATGCCAACAGAATCTAGACCAGGCATTGTTGCAATTTGTGCAGGATTATATGAAGATCCTAGTGCTATATTTAAAGGATGGAAAGAAAATCCTGTTGACTTTGATTCTGTTTTTAATCAGAGTTATCTCTCATGGGCATGGGGGAGTCCTGACATTATACCTATGTTCACAAAGGGTATCACAACATACATAAATATTTGAAATAGAATATGATGTATGTTAAAAGAATCAGATTGATTTTTTGTGAAATTAGGTGCAGGAGAAAATGTACATGGCGATAGTTATCCTCCTGAATGGCAAAATTTTGATATAATGCATGGTCAAATTTGGCGTTTAGACTCTTGGGTGTTTGACAAATACATTGATTGGCTTAGAGAAGATGCCCACAAAGTTAAAAATGCTGAACGCGTTGTCATATTCCTTCATCTTCTTGGCTGTGATACCACAGGACATACAGCAAAACCTCATTCTAGGTATACAAAACTTGCTAACTTACATTTTTTGTACAAAAGCAGAATGATATTTTTAATAAGATTATAATTTCATTAGCTCTAAATTACATTTGAATGTAGAAAATATGTTGATAACATGAATTATGTTGATTGGAAAATAGAAGAGGTTGTACAAATGACAGAAAATTTTTTTGGAGATAATAGTACTGCATATATTTTCACATCTGATCATGGAATGACTGACTGGGGATCACATGGAAGTGGCTCTACAGATGAAACAGAAACACCATTAATTGTTTGGGGTGCAGGAATTAATGCATTTAATTTTCGTCAAAACGTAGAACAAGTTGATATCACACCACTGATTTCGTCTTTGATTGGTGCTCCAATTCCGATTAACAACGAAGTATAATAATAATATAAATTTTATTACTTGTTATTCTTTTTGATATTTATGTAATTTTTCAGGGTGTTTTACCATGGCAGTATTTAAGTACTAATAATCTTAAATACATAAATCATGCGCTGTTAAATAATTTGAAACAGTTAACTTACCAAGTAAAAGCAAATCATAAGATGAATTGTGAAAATAATGGATTAACTGATTGGCGAGAGATAGAATTAGACAATAAAATTTCTACTTTCGATAAAGATTCTGAAACAGAAGATCTAAATGAGAAATTGAAAGAAATTGTTAATACAATTAAACTAGCTAAAAAGTCTTTGTTATATTTTCGACAATACCAAAGAACAAGATTTTTATTATATTTGTCTATAATATGGCTAGGGTGGATAATACTGTTATTCTTTAAAATAACTGGAGTTATTCGGCCCCGTGTTAATTCTTTTATTTTATTAATAACAAATTGTGTATTTATAGTTCTAGTAACTATGATACTTATCATGCATAAAGGTATGATATTTTATATATAACATAATTATTTGAAAAACTATTGGTTCTAATTTTAAGTAAAATAGTTTCAGGTTGTAATAATTGGAGATTACCCTGTTATGCGTTTTTAACTATGATTTCTTTCTGGCTAGCTACTCGAAGTATAATTATATACACAGTAAAATTAAAAGTCTGTAAAAGCAAATATTATTGGACAATAATTACAGGAATAATCTTTTTATTAACAATAATGTTCATTGGCTTAACATATAGATTTGCTCTTAGTATAGGAATGTTATTTATTACTCTTGTTCAGAAGATAGTGTTAAAAAGTTCTCAGAGTCTATTTTTTTGGACAGCTTTGTCTCTAGCTATTTTTCCACTATTACCTGTTGTAGAACCATACCCTCGAGTTTACATCATGTAAGTTCAAATTGACATTAAGTCGTAATGTTTCTTTTATTAAATATTTTTAATTAATTAATTAAATCTTTAATTAAAATTGTTTTCAGAATTCTTAGTATATGTGTTGTAACTTTAATAGTTGCATTAAAAATGCATTCAAAGTATAGAAAAGCAGTCGAAATTTTTCGACTGATAGTCACAGGACTAATATACCTAGAATGTATAGATGGCCGAAGTTGGATATCATGGACGATTTTATCAACGACACCATTATATATTTTTACCTATCCTATGCAATTAAAAAAAAGGATGCAAGGAATCGTGTTGGGACTTTTCTGTCCACTTGTCTTATTATCTGCATCTTACGAACCTTTCTTTTTTATAATTCTTGCATTACATCTATCCTGTTGGTCACAATTTAATGTGTCTTCTATTCAAGTTTATCAAAGTACTAAAAATCCTTTGACAATAGAAGAGTTGCTTAAAGCAGCAATCTTTGTATCCTTTGTTAATATAAGATTTAAACACAAATTGAATTGTTAAACTGTTCTCAATACCAATCCTGAACAATTTATTATAGATGCTATATACATTGCTGTGTTTCTTTGGAACAGGTAATATGGCGAGTGTCAGTTCGTTTGATCCGTCTTGGACTCGTCATTTCGTGACAGTTTTCTCTCCCTTTACAATGTTCCTGTTAATACTTTTAAAGCTAAGCATTCCTTTAATGTTAATTGGATGTACAAGTCACACACTTGGATCTTCAAGTATTTTTCTAGGAGTGCTTCTACTGGGAGACTGCTTATCTTTACCACTCATGTATTATGTTACTCCTCAAGGAAGTTGGTTAGATATTGGTAGTGCTATAAGTAGATTCACAATTGCAATTTTCCTTCCATGCCTTATAGTGTTATTGCATTATCTTTCATATCCTTTAATAACATTCTCTCCAAATAAACATAAATTTTATATTAATTTAAAAAAAGATCATATTGTATAAAAAATATAAAATATGTATATAAAATCAACGATTTATTTATAATAAAATGATCAAGCAAATATAATTGTTCTTATTTGATGTAGTGAAAATTGATATATTTCTTTTGAAAGAAATTAATATATTTCTAATATCTTCTACTTAAAAATTTCATTCTGTAAGAAGATAATTGAAATATAATTGTGTAAAATTGGGTACTTTAGTAGCAATGATACTAAATCATGTATAATGATTTAAGGGTAATAATCAATTATTCAAGAAGTACTGACACTATATTTAATTTCTATATTTTTTAAATAAGTAATTTTTGTTTTTATATAATATGTCATTTAATTAATTATGCTTAAAATTTGAATTCTTTGTATTTCTTGGAGGCTTTCGAATCTTGACTTTGTTGCCGTTTGCGTTTACTCTGTAAAGAGAGAGATAAGCAAAATTAATTTAATAAATATTCAATTTATAAATTTATCAATATCCAATAATATACTTACTTTTTGCCGTTGTACATGATCTTGAAGCATGTCTGATAAATCTTCTCTCCTTAAATGAGCTTGACGCGACCTCATTGTTTCTTCGTACCGTGATGCCATTGCTTCAGAGTCTAGGTCTAATTCACTTGGGTCTAATGCTAATTCAACAGCTCCATCTTTCTCCGTTCTTCCATCTGATGTTGTCCCACTTACTCCACGTCGTGCAGCAATTACAGACGGTGGTGCTTGACCTCCTGCTGCACCAGTCATATCATATACATGCGTACTACCCATCATGCTTGCTCCAAGACCTTCTGTTCGTCTTTCTTGCAAAACTGTGTACAAAGCAGGAGTATCACCTCCTTCCATTTCGCTTTCAATTTTCTTTTTTCTTAATTCTATTGTTTCTGGAGTTTCCAATCCCGCCGGAATTGATGTTATTCCACTAGGTGTTATTAATCCTTCTGCACCAGGTGTAACTAAACCACTCGCATCTCCATCTCCATCTTTTCCTTCTCCTTCACCTTCTCCACCCTCCTCTGCATCTTCATCTTCATCTTCATCTCCAGAAGATTCTGATTCAGGTTCACCCCACATACCTCTATCTATTTCTTCATCCATATTATCTCCACCTGGTGTACGAGATATACCAAATACATCTCCATACAAAGGTCTACCTGTTTCATCTACGGGAGGCTTTCCCCAACCACCAGCATGATAACCAAATGCACATCCTTCCGGAATTGGTGCATTTAAACCAGGTATCTTTAAGTTGGGATAACTTGGTGGTGGTCCATACCGCTGCATAGCAATTAACCATGGAGGTGGTACTTTATGACAATTAGGCCCTACTGGCATGCCAAGGGCAGTACGCAATTCATCAGACAGTTCTCCAGGTTTCTTTTCCTTTAAACGAGTTTCGAATTCTTTACCCTCATAATATAAATCGCCATGAATAGTCATACGAGGTTTAGTTTGCCATTTAAAGAATGCATCATGTAATTTCTGATAGTCAATGTCTATTTTGCCAAGCTTAGGTCTTGCTCTTTCTCGCATTTTAGCTTTTAACGTACGTGTATCATCTCGTTCTTGAAGACTTGCCCTCATTTCTGTAATACCTGTGCGTTTTATGAAATCTGGTAAGTCAAAAGGAGGCTTTTCTATACCACGTTTTCCTTGTAAATATTTCCTTTTGAAACACCAGTGTCTGGGTACAGGCACTGTGTTACGGTGGGCTTTTAGTTGTACAAGAAGTTTTGGGTCCCTTGCAGTAACATCATGCATTTCTACAACATCTGGTCGTCCTACAAGTTGTTTTAATTCTGCAACACTCAAACGCGTTAGCCTCTTCAGTTTCCTCTTGGATAGTCGTGGAGCTCCATTCTCTCCAGTTCCTTGCTGTTGTTGCTGTTGATTTGCATCATCATCAAAATCATCCAATGGTGGTACTTTACTTGGTACAGTACCTGTTGTTTGTAATGTTGTCACTGGTGGGTACTGTCCTATTGGTTCTCCCTTTTCTGCCTCTGTAGATTTTGGTTCAGGTTCAGTTAGTTTGAATGCCTCAAATATTCTGGCAAATTGACGATACATTGGTTCTAAGTCATTAACAGTTGGAATTTCTTGAATGTATTCAATTTCTGGCAAATCTTCTTTTGGTTTTGCATTTTCTGCATTGTCCTTTTTATTTTCCACCTCCTTTCCATTGTGTTTCTTCCTCTTTTTCTTTTTCTTCTTTTTGGTCTTATTGGTCTTCATATCTATTTTCTCTGTTGTTGTTTCAGGTTCAAGTATGACATCATCTAACTGAGATACATCTTCTCCTATAGTTTCATGATTTGGTGACTTTCCTAATGAAACTATATCATTTGGATCTGCTCCCACTTCTTTAGCTCTTTCAGTTTTAAAAGCTAGAGCTTGTTCTAAAGCTGCTGGTAATTTCATGGAATCACTATCTGCATCTCGACCATTATCATCCGATGAAGTCTGATTTTGTAATTCACTTGGCGGACTTACTTTCAGACTTAATAAACTAGGTAATGTTTTTGGAGGATCTATTCCTGGTACTCCATGATTATTTGGAGGCATATTCATTAAAGATGACATTTGATGAGCTATTTGTTGAGTCTGTTACAAAGTGTATAATTGAAAATTACTAAGATAAATAAACTACAGTTTATAAGCGTACTTTATACGCAACGAAACATAATACAAATTTATGTAAAATTTTAATTCAAATATAAATCAACATTATAGTAATTGATATATAACTAACATAATTTTCCTTGAAATGAAAACAAAACTAACCTCATTTCCTGCTATATTCTCCATGTCTGTGCGTACGTGTGTCCGATAACGATGACACAGCACTGCACTTGTTACCCGCCGAATTAATCTTGGGTAACTTATTTACAAGTGAGAGTAGTGAATGAACGAATGAAGAACTGCCAACGATACTAAGGGGTGTTGTTCTTCAAATGATGAGAAGATTTCGAACTGTCTTTGACTACTGTTGAAATAAGATTTACAAATGATCGTTATGTGCGGTTAAACGATATTTAAGCCTCAGATTGCTGAGAGCTTAATTTGATTCAAAATGTAAAACTCTACTGGGATTGTACTCTCCAAATGATAAGAGAGTAAAACAATCTTTATTCCACGATTATGACTGCTCAAAGAAGTTGACGATAAGACGATTTAAAAACGAAACTAACCTCCTTACTAATTTCAACTGGGCGTCCAATAAGGCCCAAAACGGAATATACATGCTGATTGGTTTTTATCGAACGCAAGAAAATAGCCAATCAGCAGGTTCGCTCATTCTTCTTCCGTGCGCTCGAAGTGCCGAAGATCCTGGGCGGGAAAAACGTAAGGCTTCGTATTTAATAATTCACTTAGGTAAGGGTCACCGAAATTTTTCGCAGTGTCCCTCGATCAATGGAATTGTTACAATTAGATAAATTACCCCTTGGAAGTAACCACATTTATTATTATTTGTTTTATTTATGGCACTCTCGGCTATTGAAACCACGGTAGATATGGGAAATTAAAAGTACTGTTACAATTATTAAAAGAAATCGTTCTAAGTCTAACTAAAGTCTAACTAAAGTCGCAACTCAAAAATAGCTTCTTAACTGCGAAAGTGTTCGTCATAAAATTACGCACGAAAATCTTCAAGTTTTTGTTCCTTCGGACAATTTCAGTATTTTCTACTGTTCATGTATTAAGACATTAAAAATTGATACATATTTATTTACAACTTGGAATCAAGTCTTTAATAGAAAAATATTGATATTACATTATGTAATAATAAACTAAGTATGCATGTCATACGTATATACAACAGTACGTTACATACGTGTCGAAAAAACATAGAATACATATACACTAGAGAACACTTCTTATTGTTAAAAAGGTTGGTTCATCTTATTGAATATTTCAATAACATGTCAACAATTAGTTAAGAAAATTTATCATTTTTTATTTAAAAAATTAGTTAAAAATTCATAAGACAATTTACTTCCAAATATACAAAAAATGAAATAAACAATGCATTACCTTTTACCAGTTTCAATTATCATTCCAATTTTAACTCATTATTTACAATTAATAGGAAAACGTGAATTTTTATTAACAAATGTTGATAAAACCTGATAAAAGTTATTATGATCGTAATATAAATTATACAGGCATTTTGAATTATATCACAATATATGTATATACATATATGTCGGAGAAGAGTCAGGAACGGGGTTGTGAGCGTTTGATAGACCTCCCTTGGAGTTGGCCATCGTTGTGTAATAACGAAGATACGGCCTGATGCTACGAGTATGGACACTACCGATCCGACAATCAACAGCGGTGGTTGGACACTTGTGATGTTAGTGACGTTGGTCTTAGGTTCGATGACGAATCCACGGTCAACGGGATGAAAGATATACTTGCTCTAACTCAAACTCACTGATCGTCAGGCGCTACTCCCTTCATCGGTGGGATCTCAAGAAAGAATGAATTTTCATCCCAATGATACCACAGAGGAAAACTATGATGGGGTGTGTCTAAGGACACGAGATCATCGGATTCGTCGGGTATAGCCCTCGTTCCGAAAGTAAGGGAAATTGACGTTGCTGTCAATTGGTCAGTTTGGGACAAAGACTGTCTGTCCGTTTGGAAAATCTTAATTGCCGGAAAAACCCAGGTTTTATGACGGGTCCTTGGGCTAACTGGACTTGTGCTGTCTACGTGCCTCAACATCAGGTATTCATTGTCCGAAGGAACCGTTGGAATATTTTATGTCAGATACCTCTATTGGTATTTCTTTTAATGAGGGTCATACTATAACTCAACACCTTTGTTAGGCAAAGCGCCCGTCCCGTTGACCGCGGCTACGTTCGGCGACTGATGGTCGCCTTGAGCCCAAGTTTATTATCACAAATCGCAAACAAGTACTATTGGGCAGGATGACGGCAGATTGTTTAATTACGACTGTAAACTTTAATTACAATTTTACGGATTTTCCCGAAGTTCCAGAGGGAAGGCTCCGGTGTCCTTTCATCTGCGACATATAAAAGGTTAAGAAAATGTAAGATAAAATTTCTTGAATTGAAAAACATTTCTCTCTCGTTCGGAAATATTTATATCTTGTTCATATCATATGAGTAAATATTCAATATTATTTACCACAGTAATATCCATACTTTAAAAATAAATGAAAAAGAGGAAAGATATGTATGTTTGACAGCATAAAAATAAAATGTTAATTTATGCAAGCACGGAAAATTGTTTGACTACCAACGGAATAAATGTATTAAATATAAATATTAAAAAAAATATTCTATGAAGAATAGCATTAATACACACACACACACACGCGCGCGCGCGTATATGTGTGTATATAAATATATAAACATTTTTTATAATGCATATTTTATATAACTATAACAGGAAACTGGATAGAATGGAAAAAGGACTAGTATATTCTTCCACTTATGCTTATGTTTATTTATTAATTGTAGCGACTTAAGTCATTAAACTTGAAAATTTAATAAAAATATTCACAGTGAGCATTCTTTCTTCTCTCTCACGTACGTTCTTATCCTTTCTCTCTTTCGCTTTCTCTCCCTCTCTTTCTCTCCTTTCCTTCCATACTTGTCTCTGTTACACGCAACATTTTTAATGAGCTAATGCGCATGGTATGGAGATAATTTAACCAATAACTTGTACCCAGCACTCACTGGACACTTGTGTTGTCTGGTTATGTGTATATGTGTGGTATGACGTATATGTACATTCAATTATTAATAATTATTATTAATAACAACAATAACTAATTAATACGAATAAAAAATGTTTTGCTCCGACAGACTCGATTTTTTATTTTCATTTTTTCCCCTTAGGATTCGATAAAAGTTCGTTCCAGAGCTGCTGCCTTTCGTTCATACATGTGAAGTATGTTTCAGCGATGTCAGTGTAACATGCAAATTCCGTTAAGCGAGGCCTCCAGTTTCGGCGATTTGCTGTGTTGAAAATTATCGATTTAAAATATTCCAAACAGCGATTAGTCCTTGCTCAACATCAATATTGTCAATGACAATACGTAAAGCTGGGTTATCTTCACTGTGCTGACTCTGGCATTAAAATTACAATAACAGCATGGTTCCTTTAGCAGCAAACTGATCAGATTTATCAGTTCACCTGCTTGATTGTATTACTGATTCAGTCCAGGATGACCACCATGTCATCTCCACGTACTGCTCTCTGTGGATGAGGGGTATGTAACGGACCTTGTAATCTACGCCAAGGTTTGCGCGCTGCCCTTCGCAGGTCAGCCGATGAAAGGGTTCTTCTAAGTCTTCTGCAAATTTATAACAATACAAATCTAAATATTTGCACCTTTCTTTTCTTGTTCCATTAGTAAACGCGTATAATGAAATATTATATTATAAAACATGCAACAATACTCACTTTGTCTGATCTGAAGCACGAAAGTAAACGTCGTCAGGTGCATCCATCCACGAAATCACTTGCTTACGTACATTACTTCTAGATAGTGGTGGACCATGTGGCAGAATATGAGGATGAGCAGCTCTTCCATTCAGAGGTGGTGCTAGGGGAAGAACAGCAGGTGTTGTGTGTTCCAAAGCATGTTTAGGATGGAGCTGCTGAGAATGATGGGCCCTTTTTGCAGGTGGTCCACCAGGGAGCCCTGCACTTAGGGCAATACCTATTAAAAGTATTTATATTTATATAATATTTAATCTCTAAAATGCATGAAATATTAAAATAATATAAAACTATTAAACCGATGATGTGTATTCCTTTGGAACAAATGTTAAACTGTTCAATTTAATAATTTTGATTATTTGTTTTATTGGTTGAATACTTAAAGCTCTTAGGCACTCAATTATTTTACCTTCATCCCAATCCACATCAGAGTAGAAGCCAGTAAACAAAAATCATATTCAATACAAGGATCTAAAATTACATAATATACATATATAATAAACATGAATCTAAAACTTACCATCTGACCCGTTGATTTCATCGAATGATGGTCTCGGGCGTTTCAGTATCGTTTGTTGAGCCTGCATACTAGGTTGAGGTTGAGGTGGAGTTACCGTCAGCCTATCTACTTCAGATTTATTTGGTACCCTTTCATACAAAAGACTTCCATCTATAACAATAAAACTCATGATATTATAATACTCATAATAATAATCATGATATTAAATATAATTGTATTAGCAATAAGAAAAACATTTTATTCAATAAAAGCTTATGCACCTGGTGCTTTTGGCGGTCTAGGAAAAGAAACCCGATCTGGTTGTTTTCGTTGTGCTGGCGCTGTAAGGGCTAACCAATCCCAATCTCCAGGTTGTCGTGGAGCAGGATGATCACCTAAACGCGTTGCTATATCGGTTACACGAGGACGAGGTCGAGGTCGTACAGCACGTGCTAAAATACGTAACTCCGCAGGGCTTTTTGATGTTAATTGAGGAGAGGCGCAAAGGTGTCGCAATGGTGCTGCATTTATAGGTTGATGAGGTGCTCGCGCTGCATGACGTGTGCGTAATTGCGCTGCACATAATCGTCGTGCAGCTCGCGCCAATGCTGAAGTACGTAAATAAAACGCTGATCGAGTTTTCATCACAGGTCTGGGGGATCCACCGCCACCACCTCCACTTGCTCCGCTTCCACGTAAATCAACGCCATGAGCACTCGCGTAATGACGACTTAGATGTGCTTTGAGTTTAAACTCTTTACCACAAGAAGGAATGCTACATCGATGAGGTCTATGAGCACCGCCTATTCCTTTGCTTTCTTCATCGGAACCGGTACCACCTCTTTTTCTTTCTATATCAACATCGTCCATACGTGATGGAACCTAAATGGAAAAAGTTTTTTTTTGGAGAGGGGGGGGGGAGGCAAAAACAAAAGGGAAAAGAAAGATAAAATATTTTCGTGCGTTATATGATTATCATTACTTATATACATATGTTTATTGAAATATACCTTTAAACCGCCATATTTCTTCCAATATGTCCAACAAGACTGACAAAGACGACATTGCATGTGTGATGGACCCCAAGCATACCACTGTGGACTTTGCATTACTTGACAACTTTCACATGGTTTTCCACTAACTCCAACCATCAATATTCCGCTATTATCAGTTGTCATATTACCATTACTATTACCGTTGAGAACATTCGTTGGTTTCCCATTACTGTTACTATTACTATTACCAAGAGGTACAATTGTTGCTGCAGAAGGGGCAGTTGTAGGTGGAGTTGTTTTATTGTAGTTTGGTATATAAACTTGTTTTAATTTACTTTCAGCTTCTACAGCTTTCACCCTTTTTTGTTGTACATATCTATCAGTTGTCTTCCACATATAATAATATTCGATAACGTTCTTTAATGTTTTCCATGGTAACTGAAACATACGAGTATTTAATAAAACAACATATCATAAAGTAATGAACTTTGAGATTTCAAATATCTTGTGTACTTACAAAGTCTTGACGTATATCAGAAAAATCCTTTCCATACTTATCAAGGGCTTCTTCAAAAAGATTGGCTTCAGACGCACTCCACTCTTCCATTTCATCTCTGCATAATACTGGACCAGTGCTGGGTACTAAAGATGACATGGCTTTTGCAACATCATAATTGTGCCGATGTAAAGTATCCATTGCATGGAACTACAAACATAAACTGGTGTAAGGTATGTTTTTTCTTCATAGTTAGTTATATAGTTATACAACAGTAACAATGATAATGATATTTACAAGAGTAATGTCTCTAGATGCAGCTGCTGCAGACATGTGTAATGATGGTTGTTTGACCGAAGATGAACAGTCTAAAGCTCTTGCAAATGTGCCTACAGATCTACTGACAACAAGGAATTGATCAATTTGACGATCTGTTAATGAATGCCGTGGCGTCCAAACCAACGTTTCTAAATCTTGCAACCTACGAGGATCTGACTCTCTTTCAGCAGGTGTCAGCGGAGCTGGTGCTATTCCATCAGCTTGATACCTACTACCTACTCTAATTTCACCTGTAATGTTTTACATTGATTAAAGTTTAAATATATAACAGAAAGTTAGAATAAATATGATTATAGTATCTGAAAATTTGTAATATTAATGAATACCTTTATCAGCAAGTAAAGTACGTTGAGCAGGATCAAATACTAAGCAATAGAAGAAAGAGTCCTCTTTGTTCAAATAGCTTAGTAAAGATTCTGTTTCATTTAATAAGGTTACACAGCATTTGCCTCTTATATGAGTTGCAGGCATTGTTTCCACCTGACGCGATAGAAACAGTTCTCTGTGCTTCATTTGATGACGTTGCTTAGAACTTAATTCTGTAACTCCTCCAGCACCAACTACATTTTCTTCCATCCCTGTATGTAAAAAGGATTAAAATTATATTTTACTATCTCAAATGTATAAATAAATATTCTAAAAAAGCTTAAATAACAAAATACTTTACTCAAAAATAAAAGGATTAATGAAGGCTATATAAGTAATATATTAAAAAATAACTAAGTAATTTTATTGTTTTTTATATAATATAATACCAATAAAAATTCAACATTTAAAGCAAGATTACTAGTATCTTTAATTAAATGTTCCAAAAAATATTAATCTTTTACATTATTTAAATTTTTTTTCATGAAAAATGGAATTATCCATAAATTTATTCATGCAAATTTGGCCTTTTATCAGTATTATTATTTTTCTTTTGTAACATAAATAAATAAAATGTAAATGAAACGTAGGAATGTGGCAGAATCAATCAAAACTTATGACAGTGAACTAAAATATTAGTGAGAGCGGGCAACAAAAGAAGAAAAAGCAACATTGATTGATGTATTATATATCATAACAGAAATGGAATTAGCTTCCAAAGAAATGTAAATTATTTGAAGAAGCCTCAGATTACTAAAGAATTATCATTTTGTGCAGCGGGATTTTTGTCTAGGTAGTAGAATTATTAGAATTGTTTTAATGAGAATGAATTTAGGATTTATGTATTAGAATAAAATTGCTATTGCAGTGACATGTAAAAAGATTAATAAAAAATGTAGATGATTATACGAATAAATAGGAAGAATGATGAAACGATTGTAATTGTATATTGTCATGGAATGTATGGGTTCATTAAGCTTCACACTTAATGATTAAATCCCTTTTCCATATAACTTGAAGGAAGAGGCCTTAGTTAAACCCAATTTATTGTTTCTTTGGCCTTACAGTGAATCCAGCCAAAACTAATGCCATTCACCAAGATTACAAAGAATTTTATAAATCCCGCCGCTAGATCATTAGCCTTATATCATCACTGGCTTCTATATGAGACTAACAAGACAACCAAAAGGTGCATGTTGTGCAATACTTACTGATGAATTGATTAACATTCAATTTTCATTACTATTTGTTTTAAATTATGTAAATTATGTAATATTTACTATTAACAACAAATACATTGAATTTTCGTATTAATAGTTTTCTTTAGAATCTCATAAATGGTGAAGAAATCTAATAAAATTCATCTGTAAGGGGCACCTTTTAACTGACTAGTTCACTCACCATGAGGCTCTTGGGCCTCTGACAGTGGAGCTTTCAGCCAGCCCCCCTTCCCGCCCCCTTTGCTCATCACTTTGGGCCCGATCCCATCTTTATTAGTCATTTCCTTAGTAGTATCTGGATTCTCCAGTTTCTGATTCTGCATGTTTGCAGGGGATTCTGACCTCTGCTGCTCCGCGTTTGCCACTGCAATTTGTATCATAGAACCCACTCTACTATGTTTTTCATCATACTTTTTCTCTAATACAATTTTAACACATGCTTTCAAAATTTATTTTTCTATAAAATTTAACAACTAAGGACGCAGGCAGCCTTCAACTTCATTGGCCAATGGTTTTCATCCATTATGACATCTAGCTACATGTGGCTAATATCTAAACAATTAATACATATATGATATAAAAAATAACTTTGATTCTGTCAACCAATTCCACTCACGTTTCTATTTACAATTATACTGTGATTATGTAAGTAAATCATCAAAGACCTTTATTTAAAAGCTTATCATATAATGGTATTAATATAGACTACAATAATATTTTCAAAAATAATATGACCATACAATATCGAAATATTACTATTATTTCAAATATCATCTTCACACATTACAAATTATTGCATTATAAAGCGGTTTTTAAGTTGGAATCATAAAAGTTGCGACTATAAAAAATACCAAATCTAAACAATATTAGAAATCTTAGCGAATTTACACACAATTCTCGAATATTATAAAAAATTTAAAGAATTTCATATATCAAAGGTTGTTAATTAAAAATGGAAATGAAATGATTCTGTGATCATGAGAAGAAGCGCGACATCTCAAACGCATACTCTTTTTAATATTTTCATACTGTTCCACACAGAACAATACGGAATCTGTTCAAGACAAAATTCGTACATTTTTTTCTGAAATTTGAGAGTATAGGAATGGTGGAGCTAGAGAGAACGAGAGAAAAAGGGGGAAAAAAACCCGATTCGAAGCAAATACCGGCAGACGGACATAGAGCTACGGGCAAAGAGGAAGAGACACGACAAAGTGTATATTCACGTATACATACACGTACATATACCTACATACTGTAGAAAAGAAGAGAAGGGAGGAAAAGAGAAGCGGGGGAGTAAATGCTTAAAACGAAGATGGCTAGTGGGGCCCACCATTTTCGCCGAGACACATATACGTTCGTTTGCGCGCGAACATTATGTATGTATGGATATGTGCACGCGCGCGCGTGTGTCCTGTTTCTCTCTGCCTGTTATTCGTACATGTCTATGTGTCCGGTTATCGTGTATGTCTATCGGTGTTCTTACAAGTCTGTGTCCGAGTACACGCAACACATACCCAACCGACCCCTGCGTCAGTCATTCATTTAGTTCAGGGTGGCGGGAAGCAAGGAGGGGTGGTATGAGGGACTTGGGTGAGAGGTAGAAAGAGGGAGAGGTGGGATGGCAGGCGTACCACCCCCAGCCCAC